TCAAGATAATCCAATAACACAACAATATTGTAACAATGTAGTTAATAAAGAACAAGTACAGAATTAATCTGGAACTGTTTGATGCATCATTCAAAAGTATTTCCCTAATAACTGTTAAAGAGGGGTCTAAAATGTTCTGTACATCAGAATATTATAAGATCCAAATATAAATGCTTGCATGGTTGTTTGCCAGCTTTAAGTCATAGTCAGAATCATGTAAGTCGAGCATTTACACACCCGAGTCACTATTTATTTACTGGGTTCAAACTGCTGAATAATCACAATGAGCTCTATCAACAATCAAGAGGGAACTTGATAAAGAATCAATAATCAATAATATCTTTTCATTATCAACCAATACGTCATAGACAGTGAGTATGTAATAGAAAATAACTAATTACTAGAGATCAAAGTGAGAGACACTACATTAGTGAATCTTTAGTTAATGATTAGTTCATAATTATCCTGCCATAGAGCACAATGATTCATTTTATTCATGAGTCATTTATAATTAAGCCTGTTGCAAACAATGAGCCTCGCAAAAGACTAATACTCGTTATTACTAATTTCTTTAACATATGTTATTCTTTCTATCTGTCTGTCAGACTTGTTTCACTTCATCCACATGCCGATTTGATTTCATGTGGGCTACGCTAGTAAAACCATTCCATAATTATGGGATAAAAACGCCTCACACCCCATTGTCTTAAAACTTTATTTTTAGGGCATTATTTCTTTTTTAATTGTTTTCTATTATTACATAGACAAGTCTGAGATGTCCCAAAAAATAAGTGCAGTTTGAAAAATAATATTTTAGTTTTTAAATTAAGTAAATGAATGCACATTTGATGTGCATTAAAGGAATACAGTAGAAAGGCGCAAAACTTTCACATGTAGATGTAAATAAACCAAACTAGTATTTTTTAATACAGCAGCCCATTTTACACTTTGCAAAGCCAAACACCAGGCCAGCTCAGGGCCTCGGTTCCAGCACATGTTTGTTTGTTTGTTTTTTGGTCTCCCAACTGTGCATCGTCCCAATCAGTCATACATAAGTTTTTCTGCTGGGACTTACAAAGACAATTGACTCCCCCCAAATCTTCTATTCTGTCCCAACAGTCTGCTCTTTGACCCGGCAGAAGATCAAATGATAGCCTTTACAGCTGTGAAGGTACCACATGGCACAATAAGAGGAATAAATACCTGTTTAAAAATAATGATGGTAGGTAGGCGGGGTGTATGTAAATGTCTGAAGGATGTTGGTAACCCACAGTGAGACTCTTGATTTGACTTCTGTAAATACAAGTGGAAACAATTTGGAAAAAAAAATAAAAAGCTTTTTGGTACTGAATGGGTGAAGAAGGCACATTATTGATGTTGATTTGGGGGGTTTTGTTACATAAACAAAGGACTGATGATGAAAGACCTGAATGACAGAACTGTTGGTTGCTCCTCTGATAGGATATGAAATCTGTCTCACCAATAAGGGCAACATTTCTGGTTCCTTGATGTCAGAAG